TGGCCATGCCACCTGACCATAGCAGGGTGCACACATTCGGACTGGATGATTCAGAGACACCACTTTACCCAGCCAGCATGTCTTTGGAAGCTGGCAGGAAAATCTTTAAATCTTCTATTTAAATGTTGTTTAATTTGAGCTAAATGTTGAGCATCGCATCCACTGAGACACATCAAGGGTGCTCTTCACATGAACCACTGCTTCGAGCTGTAGTGTCCAGGTGGGAGGCTGTGTTTCCCTCAGTTATGTGGCAGGTACTGTGCCTGCTCCTGACAAATGAGAAAACCACAGTGTGAGAAATATACATTTCTTTTTAGGGAACAGTGATGATGTTACATTTTAGTAAATGAATTTATCATTTGTAACAGCGCTAGGAAAGTTAAAAAAATGTTTGGAATTCTAATATATGGTCTTATGAAGGGGTCTGAAATTCTCACTAAGATGAAACACACTGATTCTGTTTGCTAGGGTGCAGTCTACTTAGAAATGTTCACCACGGGCATATTTTCATTACTTCACAGTGAGTCACTGTTTAAGGAGGTCCTCATACTTTAAGAGCACCATGTAGATGCAATGAGCACAAACAAAAAATAAAAAAGTATTCAAAACAAGTTTTAGAAAATGAGCTGTTTGAAAAATTTATTTATATGCAGTTCATACAATAGACTGTATAGACACAGCTGTCTACACTGTAAGGTAGAAAAGAGACTATTATATGAAAAGTGCTTTAACTTTGGTGCAAGAAGTTAAAGAAAAGCAAAACCTCCAGCTTGCTCAGTCCATGCCTGGAGAGTGTGGCATTCATCTCAGTCTTGTCTGTAGAACAAGTAATTGATCTTAGATTTGTCTAGACAACAGGAAACACCTTCTCAAAAAAAGAAGTGCAAATTGTTCTGCTGTTGTTCAAAGGTCTACATGTGATACAAAATAAAGCATGAAAATTAAAACAGCCTATTTCAGATAAGAAAATCATGTACCCTGAGCTCCAAACAGTAATATACCTTCATTTCTTAGGAGCTGCTCTGCCCATAAGAGATTTCTTGGTATTTTTCTCAGGATGAAGCAGAATGATGTAACATTTTGGTACAAATATCGCAATGAGGAGACCAAAGCTTGAAGCCAAGATTGCAAAAATCTCCACAGCGTCCGAGTATTTCCCAGGAGAGCTGACATAAGCTGGTATGAAAGCGATCCAAACTGCACAGAAGATGAGCATGCTGAAAGTGATGAACTTGGCTTCATTGAAGTTATCAGGCAGGTTCCTTGCAAGGAAAGCCAGAAGAAAACAGACACTGGCGAGCAAGCCTATGTACCCCAGCAGGAAACTAAATCCAGTTATTGAGCCAACATTACACTCAAAAATAATTTTTGAGTTTTGATACTGTGTATTTTTAAAAGGCACAGGGGATGCTGTACTCAGCCATATGATACAGATCAGAGCCTGGATGACAGTAAAGACAAAAACAGTGCCTCTCTGTTGTGCAGCACCAAACCACTTCATGACATTATTGTCTGGCAGTGTGGCTCTGAAGGCCATGATGACAACAATGGTTTTCACAAGAATGCAAGATATGCACAAAACAAAACTGATTCCAAACACAACATGTCTCAGCATACAGGTGAGGTGTAGTGGCTGACCAATAAACAGCAATGAGCAGAGGAAGCAGAGTATTAGAGAAAGCAGCAGCAGGAAGCTCAGTTCAGAATTGTTGGCTCTTACAACCGGAGTGTTCCTGTAGTAAATGAACACAGCTAAAACTCCAGCTGAAATAAATGCCCCAAATACTGAGACTGTTGTCAAAGAGATTCCCAAAGGCTCCTCATATGACAGAAACTCAATTTCCTTCGGCACACACTGGTCTCTGCTTGGGTTTGACCAGAAGTCAGGTGGACATTTTAAACATTCAAAAGCATCTACAAGACAAAAAGCACCTCTGCCATTATTATACACAGTAAACAAACATAATGTAAAATAATCAAACTATTGTGCAAGAGGTTGCAAGTGATGTTTATTAATGAGTTCTTTCATTTTTCATTTGTTTGATATAGACCCTTCTGGGATTCACAGAGGCCAGTTTATCAAGTGTTCTAGAAAAATTCAGGCAGAAAATTCAACCTGCTGCCAGAGATTTAGAACAAAGCTTAATATGAAAATTAAAGAAAATGTGTCTTAGAACAATTAACTAGTGAACATCGTGGAATCATTATATAAATGCTGGAGATGTGTCCGGTGACCTACAAAGTCAAATTACACAGACAGACTTGTGTTTTGCGGCTGCTACAGTACAGATAATGCTCTTTTCATTCCGTTTTTGCCCACCTTTTGGAAATCCCATGTTGGCTTTACAGATGAAATGAAACAGTAAATGACTGACAGTACCATTAATATCACAAGTGAGCATTTTAGGGAAGCCAGAGGAGAAGTATTTTCTATATTTTTTTTATGTGAACATGAACATGCACTGACTATTATTAGGCATCAAGCATACTACAATCCAGAGAAACAGCAACCCCTTTTATACTATTGTAAACAATTACGCAGCAAAAAATAAATAAAAATGTCTCTAACAATTCTCTTTAGGATTTTATTATTTATAAAGTAGGCACATACAATATAGCATTATTAACTTACATGATTAACATTGTTTATTTACTGTATATACCTCCACAAGGCAAGAAAAGTAGCGATGTATTGGATTTGTACATTGGAACCTAAGTTAAAGGAACCTAATGTCCTAGACATTAACAGTACAGAAAAATAAATATCAGACTTAAGCATTACTGTCTGCCCACCTGTGTGGTTGCTGATGTCTCCCTCTGCACAAGGCACACAGTCGAAACAGCAGAGGGGCTCCCCTTTCCTGGTTGCCTTCCTGGTGCCAGGCTGACAGCTTTCACTGCACACAGACCTGGGGGGCTGGGAAAGAACAAAAATTAACTGGATATCAGAATAAATTATTATTTATTAGAAACAGTTCTCAGTATCTAAAAATCCCACTACATATAAGTGCACAGAATTTAAAACATTCTATATTAAAGCACAATTAACCTGGCTATAGTTGTGAGAAGTTGGAAAAGATAGATAAGTATAGACTAATGACTAAGTCATCAACCGTCTTTTGAGGATTTGCACATTCACCCCTTTTGAACAAAATATTATGGGAGAGATTAATGTATAACTTGGGTTGAAAATGCAGCTCTAGAAAATGTGCAAAGTAATGGAAAACATTGTAAATACAAAATCTGAATTTCATCAATCGATTTTAATAAATATTGAGAGTCCTGACTAGAATTGTTTTAATAAGAAGAATAATTTGACATGGGTTGACCTACTCTTTTGGATTCAAAGTTCCAGAAGATTTTGTCCTCATTCAGAGTGAGCTGTTGTCCAGCAGGAGCTGATTCATCAAACAGACCGATTGTTACTGTTTTCACAGACCCGTCATCGGCCCTCTGCCAGTTCATCACATCATAGATTGCAAGAGCATCTCCGTTCTCATCGAAGGACACCCTGTCTCCATAGTGAGTCGTGAAGTTCACTCTCGCCAGGTAGTGCAGCAGCTGAGAGAAAAAAACAGAAAGTGGTGAATTATTTAATGACTGAGGTAACCAAAAAGAATTCAATAAGTATCTGCTTCAAATTTGTTCTCACTGGAAAAGATCTAGTGTATCACATTTAATTACAAATATGAATATATGGAAAGCTGAGAAAATTACATTTAGCTTCTTTTTAATTCATTTCTATTTCTTTAAATTATTTGACATCTCTGAAATAACTGTTTATGTCATACTGTAGCTCATTTTATCCAGCAGGCATCTATTCAATAGCCTCTCACCTGCCAGGGCTGCACAGTTGTGATGTCTGCACAGGAGTTATTCTGAAAGGGCCCTTTTCCAGGCTCACAGGACATCAGGTTGTCCAGGGAGTGTGCCAAGGCGTACACTGCTTTATACACGTTGTAGGATCCTCTCAGTTCTGAAACATCACTGTAAGCAGTTCTGGTTTTTCCAATGTCTTCTGAACCTGTGCAGATTTTGCTGCCTTTCCAGTTTGACAAATTGTGATTGTTTGTATTTTCTTGAAATTTGCAATCAAACATATTTTCCCAGAACAATTTTACTAAATTGTTTCTGGAGTCAAACACAGGGCGAATCTGAAGGAGAAATTGTTCCAGCCCTGGGATTTCTCCTCGGCGAACTGTGATTCCTATTGTCCCACCTAAATAGGGCAGTAACTCCTTAGTGTGGAAGACAGGGGAGGAAGCCCAGGCTTCACTAGCAATCCACTGCCTGCCTCTGATTTTTTGCTGAACAATTTCCTCTGTCAGAGGAATCAGAAAAGCTGCCGTTGAAAACACAATTATAACTTTAGCAGTTGACTGTTTGATGGTCCTGACGATCTTAAGAATTTCAGACTTGTCATTGTTACGTGGGAGGATTTCCGAGAAAGCTATGCAGCCAAAACTATTTACTTCCTCAATAAAAGTCTTGGCAGCATACAGCCCATAGTCATCATTGCTCACAATTACACCAACCCAAGTCCACCCATAATGCTTGAAGATCTGAACCATGGCTTTGACCTGGAACGTATCACTGGGAATAGTCCTGAAGAAAGAGGGGAACTCCTTTCTATTGCTTAGGCAAGAGCAAGTGGCATAATAACTGACCTGCAAATGAAAGAACAAAGCCATTTTTTTGGAAAAACATTGTCAGAAACATTTCTTGATCTTTTAGTTCTGAAAATACATCATTCTCCATTTATACCATTCACATTTCTTAATGAAATAATCATTCAAATCTTCAGTATGACATCTTGTTCCAACACAATTACATTAGGCTTATTTAGGAAAAGAAGAAAAACCTTCCTGAAAAATATTTTGGAATCAATATAACCTGAACACTTTATATACATGCGGTAATATACCGTATATGCCAATTAATATCAGTGAGCTGATCACTGGTTTTCTATACCATTGGAATACGGAAGAGACCCAGTATTCTTGACATGGCAATAGAATATGTTGACACAGGATCCCCAACAATGGCTAAGACAGGGGGAGTCCCTCTACAGCTGTAGTCAGTGACAGAATCATCCTCTCCGCTGATCAGAGCTGTTGCTGCTCTCAGAGCCACTGCCAGGTTCACACAGTTGTCATACAGCCTGTATCCCAGTGTGATGTTAGGGAGAAGAGCAGGGTCTCTGTTTATTTCCTCAATAGCAAATGCCATGGTCTGTGCCCACTGAAATCCTGTAAAATCAAAACTGCCAGAAGACACAAACAACATTGAAATGCATACGTTTCCTACATGTGCTGCATGTGCTAACTGCAACGTGTGCAATTTAGAACATTTAAATATACTGACATTACAAATATGCCATTCAAACACAACATAAAGAATTGGAATTAATCGTTTTTATTGCCATTTTAATGCCTTTTAGCATATTTCCAAGAATAATATGATCCATATTGGTTACCACTCATTTAAGTGACAAGTTCTTTAAATTTATTGTTCAAATTCCCTTAGCATATTCAATATCATTTCTTCTTATTATGTATGTAGTATAATCTAGATCATGAAAATGTTAAAATAAAACCTTACTACATAAAATAGTAAAAACATTTATTTTATCAGGAAACTGTATATATCTTACTTCTACCTTTCTATTAAGAAGCAGTAGAATATACTCACTCACCGCTCACAGCTCAATGGCTCAGGCTTAGAAGTAAAAGACATTTCAGGATACACTGTTATAAAGTGAACTTCAGATATTCCCCCCAAAATAATATCTCCTTCTTTATACAGCCCATACAAGTCAAATTTTTCTTGGAGCCTGCATGGGGGCACAACGGTGTCTACTTGGCCAATGAAGCCTAGTGCTACAAAAATGTATAGAATGAATTGCATTGTTTTAGTACGGATGAGCCTGCCTTGTTTCAGGGATTGAAATCGATGCTATATAGATAATGTCTGAGTCTCTTGGGATACCTGTGAATGACATCACACACACACACAATACTCCATTATAGACAACAAGAGGTTTATCAATTTCCTTTTGTAAAATTCCACTATGCCACTAATCTGTTTTCCTTAAAGCCGTAGGGCCTGTTTTGCCACTTTGAGCAAACCACGGTAGAGTTTACTTGCACAACATTCACAGAGAAAACAAAGTATTTCAACACCATGCAACATTTTTGTCAAATGTTGTTGTACAAATCCACCTGTGCAAGTTTCAGTAAACAAATACTCAGCAAAGTGCCTCTACATTATTGTTTTTATCACTACATCATTTGTGATGTTTTTACCAGAAAACTGATTAAAACTATTGGTTTAAAATGTTTTCTTTTTCAAGCAATTCATGGAATGGATCAACTTAAATCACATCTACAGTCTGAAGATTTAACCAATGAAACTACAAATGTTTTTTTCTTAATAGAGAGGGATTTTTAATTGAAATCAAAACATCTGATTTGGAAAAATGTCAGTGGTAGACATGAACAGATTAGGCTGCTTAAAAATATATATGTTTCTATAAAATGCAGTTGAAGCATTTTATAGAAACTAACAATTTTAGTGCAGGCAATAATGCTGTCGTATTAAAAGAAATTGTACAATAGTTCTTATTCAGTTTGTATGTTACTCAATTCTACCATAGAATAACCATAGCATTCTTTAAAATGTGAGACAAATTTTATCTCTATGAGCTGTATAAAGATGGGTATGTCCTTTCTGGAGGAATATTTGAAATACACATTAAAACAATATATCCTGATTTTTTTTTTTTGTAGCATTTTTTGCTGTATACAAAGAGAAGAAGGGAAGGGGCCCCTAGTGGAGATCAGGAACAGCTGTAACACAGACAAG